CTTCTTTCTTTAACAGTTTAATGATCTTTGTATTGAAACTGTTTTAGTCGATGGATTTCACCGTGATATTTACCTTTTCATTTTATGTACTTTTAAAAATATGTTCCAATGTGGTTTTACTGCAAATGGCAAATAAATCTTTATTTTTATTGTAACAACAAACGAAACGCCACACAGGGTCAAACTAAATGATGTGAGGCCGCTGCAGGATCTGCTGCAGGAGCTGAACGATCTGCTCCAACTTCTGCTCCAGTCGCTCCATCTGTCACAAACACACTTTAACTCTGGGACACAGGAACCACACATTTCACCAAAGTACCTGGTTCATAGGGACTGGAGCGAGGGCGAGGGCTGGGACCGGGGCCGGAGCAGGGGCGAGGGCTGGGACCGGGGCAAGGATTGGGACTGGGGTGAGGGCTGGGACCGGGACTGGGGCGAGGGCTGGGACCGGGGCCGGAGCAGGGGTGAGGGCTGGGACCGGGGCCGGAGCAGGGGTGAGGGCTGGGACCGGGACTGGGGTGAGGGCTGGTACTGGGGTGAGGGCTGGGACCGGGACTGGGGTGAGGACTGGGACCGGGACTGGGGTGAGGGCTGGGACCGGGACTGGGGTGAGGGCTGGGACTCTGGAAGAATCTTCTGATTCCACGCTGTCCGTTCCTACAGAAAGCGGAGCCTCTGCCCGGAGAGCGTTGAGAACCATGGCCTCCACCAGCCCGCCACCGCTCGCCGGGGGCAGGGCTAACGACAGAACGTTAGCATAGCCATCGAAGGCCGTAACCGTGGCAACGACTTCCTGCTGTATTGTACTGATGAAGACCTTCAGCAGGGCCTCGGACCACTGCTCCGGGAAGTTCTCTTTACCTGCACCACACGGACAGAGTCAGAGACGGATCTGCTACACACAACCGACACACACACTGTCACACACAACAGACACACACACTGCTACACACAACCGACACACACACTGCTACACACAACCGACACACACACTGTCACACACAACAGACACACACACTGCTACACACAACAGACACACACACTGTCACACACAACAGACACACACACTGCTACACACAACCGACACACACACTGTCACACACAACAGACACACACACTGCTACACACAACCGACACACACACTGTCACACACAACAGACACACACACTGCTACACACAACCGACACACACACTGTCACACACAACAGACACACACACTGCTACACACAACCGACACACACACTGTCACACACAACAGACACACACACTGCTACACACAACAGACACACACAGAAAGAGAAACAGAGGAAACACAGATGTTTGTTTCGCTCAGTATTTGGTTCTGAACCAGACACAGTGAGTTGTGTTATTGCGACACATGTTTCTACGGCTTTGAGGAAGACAAAGCTGCACTAACTGACTTTGGGATTTTGAAGCAGCGGACTCGCAGGCCTCGCTCTTTCTGCTCCCCTCCCACACACACACACACACACACACACACACACACACACACACACACACACACACACACACACACACACACACACTGTTTACGGAGCTAGCGTCTCCCAATATGGATATAATCATGTATTGTACATTTGAGCGTGGATGGCGACCATAGAACGATAGAACCGGAAAACATTGTTTCATGAAAACTCAATCTAAAATATAATGTCCCGCCAGCACTAATCTGCGCTACTTTTTCTTCACCATAAGTTGCATATGGTTCAAAGTAACGTTGTGTGATCATTTTCAAAGGTCACAAAGCGACTCCTTGTGTTGGAGTCTTACCCACGAGAGCGCAGCGAGTGACTTGAAAAGGAAGCTGGAGCAGAGAGTCCGTGATGGGAAAGATGTGAGACAGAGGCACAGTCTCAGAATTCCCATAATCCACATAAACGACTGAGGCCACGCCCCCACAGACCTCCAGAACCACGGCCCGGTACCAGTTATTGTCGGCTGAAAACACATTTAAACATGTCAAAGCAGTAAAGTATGATGTAGCTCATAACTCTTTAACACTGTAGTTTATAAATATACAGGATATATATTGTAACGTCCTGAACTACGGAAGCCTTCGCAGGACAATAGTCTTTGATAGTGGTCCAACTCTTTTTGTCCCTTATGGACCTCTGTATTTAAAGATGGAGCATGGACATTTATAAGTCACATCTGAATCTATGACGATTCTAAAACATGGTAAATATTCTTTAAAAAGGTCACATTTATCGGTTCACATGTTTTTTAATATTTGGAGCAACTGTAAAAAATACACAGGATGTTTAAAGACATTATGCCTTTCAAAGAAATGCTCTTGAAACAGTTACATTTAGGACAAATGTTCGAGGCTTTGTGAATGAACAGAGACTTTAATGGTTAATGTTTGGGATAAAACTAGAATCAGCTGTAATTATAGATTATACAAAAACAATATGATTCAATAACTTAGTCCACTTGTTAGGTCCAAAAGTCTGCAGCTTTATGTAGAGCGCCCCCACTGGACAAACAAGGAACTTATTTCCAAAAATGTGTAAATCATCCATTACTTAAACATTTGTTTCCTTGTTTAGGCTGATCATTAAAGTTATTACATATATATTATAAGTATATATAGTTATACAGTATTAGTATATTTTACATGTATTTCTCTCATAATTATCAAATTCTTATTTTACTACAATTAGCTCTGTGCTAGGACGGTCGAATTCTCCAACACAGATCAGAGAATCAAAGATAATTAAATCATAAAAACAGACATTGGTCAATGAGGAGCAGAGACCAAAGTTTATAAATGTTATTTAATAAATGTTGAGCGTCCAACTCACTTCTACATTTGTTTCCGTGTTTAAGCCGTTCATTAAAGTTGGTTTTCTGACACATGTTTTCTGTGGAATGTAAACCAATGCTGTGTTTAGAGGAAGAGCCGCTCCTTCGCATCGTTCCTCACTCGCCGTGTAATTACATCCACAGCAGACACTAAATTACCAGCTTAGATCTGCTCGGGCAGCGGCCGACAAGTCACGGATAGAACCAGGAGTTTCAAGATTGGCAAAGACCTGATGCAAGAGTCGCTCTGAGGATCATGTGATCTTTAAGAAAAACCAGAGAGTACGGACTCCTCTCAAGTAAAATACTAAAACTGAAACGCTCTTAGTGCAGTATCAAAGGAGACGGAAATGATACATTACATTAGAAACACCAAAGTATATTCAATTCAACTTCATTAGACCAAGGTCAGGAGTCTCTGAATCCTCCCAAAGGATTCAGAATGTATCGCATGATCTTAAATTAATAGTTATTACATATATGGATAGATATAGTTAGCACAAATTACATTTCATCCTAAAGTCAAGCTCCATTGACTCCGTGAACAGGTGGGAGGGGCTAACTCCTTTTGCTGATTGAAACCATTGGATCTGAGTTTACTGTGAGCCTAGCTTTAGCCATCTCCTTTGCCGCTAACGGAGCCCATGGGGAGTAGCAGAGATTACATTTACTAAACATTCTTGCTCCGGCTTCAGTTTCTTGATAGTAAAGTATTCTGGTCTGGTTCTATCGTAATCTTCACTTAACTACAACCTGCCCGTTCGGCGCGAACTCTGACGTCACCCACATCTAACTACAACACCCGCCTCCCGCGCTTTCTGATTGGTCGGATGGATTTCAACCTGGACCAGACGTTACATGTTGTGAAATGATGATAGAGCGGAGTGAACGGATGGATAAGGCCGGGCTACTTTAAAACAGTTAACACAAAAGCAGAATCATCAGTCGATTGATTTCAGTGTCAAACGTTCACCGTTTTGTTTTATATTTTTACTTTTAACCTTGTTACTCGTCTGCTGCACACTGGGGACTTTTGCAAATGTATTCCAATGTGGTTTTACTGCAAATGAATGAATGAATCCAGGGGTCACTCACCGGAGAAGCGGGCGCAGCAGGCGGCTCCTACAGCAGGTCTGTGGGTGACGGGAGCTGAGGCCTGAGAACCACGACTGACGCAGTATCCAGCCAACTCCAGCATCAGTCCCTTCAGCTGCTCTTCGTCGACTGCCAGCCACAGGATCAGAGTTCAAATAAAAAGTACAATAACAACACGTGTGAAAAGTGGTTAACCTTGATTAGGGGCGATGATGTAGAAAAGAGACGGGTTGGAAACTGCAGCTACACAAGGTTTAAAGGTCTCATTAACCGGCAACACCGCGGTTTTCCAGTCCACCGGAAATGACTCTGCAAGAAAATACATTTGATTTTCTCTTCTAACTTATGTCAATGTGTTTATAAACTACAACCAACCCTCGGGCGGAGACGGAGCTGGATCTTCGGGCGTTTGTTCCAACACTGGGTCATTCTGTGAGTCAGGGAAGCAGGAGGTGACTTGGATCCCAGTCTCTCCGGGACGTTTGGCCATGTTCTCTGAGATGAGTGCAGCCGCCACACTGAGGCCTTTGCTCTGCAGCTCCAGACCGTATCCATCGTCAGTGACTGAGAGCACACGAGCCGCCAGCGCCTCGCCCTCCACCAGAGACATGAACCACAGCAGCGCCTCACTGCTCCACTCTGAACCCAGCGGCTCCACACCTGAACACATTCAACACGTCTGAAGCAGCGGCTCATTCTGTTTCTCAATCTCTGTCTTTTTAAAGCGTCTTTGAGTGTCCAGAAAAGTGCTCTTTAAGTTGGACGTATTATTATTATTACAGAGTCAATACAGTTAAAAAACAGGTAGATATTGATTTATAAACCTTTATGACAATTGTAAGTAATGTAAGAAATCATTATTTATACTTAGTTCAGTTTAGAGACCAAGGTACGACCCAAAGCACTTTGCAATTGTTCAGAGTTTATTCCAATCATTCCACACGGTGATGACAGAAGCGAGACCTGAACACACTGGTCCATCAAAGCCTCCGACCAAACACCCTCCATTCACTCACTACATTTAGACCTATTGTGTTTAGTGATAGGGAAACCGGAGCATGTGGAGGAAACCTATGCAGAAGGCCCTGTTCCGACTGGGATGTGAACCCAGGACCTTCGTGCTGAGACGTGAGAGTGCTAACCACTCAGCCACCGTGTGAAATGAATGTGAAGGACCCTAATGTAGCACACGTTACCTGCCAGCCAGCACGGCACGGCCTGGAAGGGCAGGCTCAGGTACTTTGCTGTGATGCATCTCAAGTTTCTTTTCTTCAAACTCAAACAATCGCCGTAGTCTGCGAGAGCAACCACAGCCCCGTCCTCACACACCTGCTTCACCACAGCCCGAAAGCATTTCCCATTTTCTGCAAACACAGAGACTAAAGACCATTTCCATCCAGACAAAAGCATTTCTGTATTTAATAGATTCTCACCGGGGACGAAGGCACAGCAAGGTTCTCCCACGTTTGGATCATAAGCTGAAGCCTCCGTCTCAAAGTAAGTCTTCATCTCTTCTTCTAGTGCCGTTAACAGCTCAATATCTGCCATGATCAGATAATTAAATGTTTTATTACAAACATATGTAATTATATAACTGACAACACTGAAACAGAGGCATCACCTCTTGGATTGTCAACGCGGCAGAAGAACTTGCCAGGACTCTCCACACGACAGGATCGCAGCCGCAGTCTCTGAGAAGTAGAAATCTCCACAGACGTCCACAGCAGCGGCTCTGGACCAATTATAATACAGATTAAAATACAAAACCACAGACAACAAAATAATCATAAGTTCATAAATACATCAAAAAGACAAACAAAAGGTTAAAAGGGAAAAAAAAACCCCTAATTCTTGGGATGGTGTTTGACAGCGCTTCTTCTACTATATCTCTGTGTATAAACCCGGGAGACTGCAGCGCCAGGATACGTCACGTCCTGTCCTACGTTTGTTATTCACCACTGCCCTGACGTCATATGGAACCCAAGAATAGGCCTGATTAGAAAGGAAGATTCTCAAAAAACAAACATTTAAATCAGGGGTGTCCAAACTTTAGTAAGAGGGCCACTTTAGTTCATCGCACTTGATCTGGGGCCGACAACCTGGATTTAAAAACTAGCAGTTGGCTCGCGGGCCTGAGTTTGGACATGCCTGATTTAAATGGCTGATCCTGTCTCTACCTGGCACATCAGGAGCAGGAAGTGGCGTCTCCGTTGATGGATGGTTTCCGTTAGCGACAGAAGCAGCTACAGCGTACCCAGCAGAGATCAGCAGCTCCGCCATGTTGGCCTGTGGGTCGCTCACCTCATCAACTATCGACACCAACGCCTTCCCTTCATGAGCCCCAAGGATCACAACACGCAGAATACGATTGCCAATCCTTTTCTGCAGGGCCTCCAGGCAATCTTTGGACCAACTCTCTCCCGTCGGCTGCACAACTTTGGAAGACAGAAGATTAGACAGAGACATGTTTATTGTTAACGCTAGAACTCCCGGAGCAGTCAATTTGACGGCTTTTAGTTTTGAACGTGTAATGAGTGTAGGTTAGAAAATGCCACATTAAATATTTAGTGAAAACAGACACACCCTCTATTTTTTAGTATTCATATCAGTGTCTTTCATTTCAGGTGACATACTCATCCCGACCAGTAGATGGTGCTGTAGCGCGACTGTGGGGCCTAGAGGGACAGTGTAGGCGCAGCTCTCAGTATTAAAGAAGCTGTGTCCAGACTAACATGTCTCCCTTTGGTCTTTCTACAGCTCCAGGTCATTTTTAGGCAACACAGACTAGTCAGCTGTGTGCCGCTTGTTACCGCACAGCGCCCCCTAGGGCTGGCGCCGGGAACAACTGCATGGACTTTGTCTCTACATGTTGCTTATTTCCATGTCATTCCTTTTGTTAAATCATCTTTTACTTTTCAAATGTAAGTAGTTTGTCCATGTTGAAACGTCGGCTTGGTTTCCCGCCAGAACAGAGCGTGAGGCTGGTTACCGTAGCAACACACCGACTACATGCTAGCTTTTCACCAAACTGATTTTCTTGTTTGCTGTATTTCAGTTATATTGACCAACAATTATTGAGTAAAAGTAAAAACCTTAAACTAAGCTCTGGGAGTTCTACATACCAAGACCACACGTCATGGCCTGCATGGGTGTGTCCAGGAGAGACTGGGAGATGGGACGCAAACTGCTCAATTCTACATCTTCAGAGTTTCCAAAATCCAAGTAACCGACACACACTCGATCTTCTGAAGGATAGGCCAGAATCTTAGCCCGGTACCACTGCTTGTCCTCTGAAATGAAAGGGGAAAATTAACATGTTTGACAGCATTCATTTACATATTTAGTGTTATATACAATTTACAATAAAATGTATTCTTGTATAGCCCTAAATCACATCAGAAGTCATCTCAGAGACTTCACTAAACCATTGAAATCAACACAGGTCAGACAAATATATTATAGTAGTATATTAATATTTAACCCTTCTGTCTGTGCACCTCAGCTTTGGAAGCATCTGCCCGAGGAGAGAGACTCCAGAGAGAGAGACCAGAGAGAGCCCAGAGAGAGACCAGAGAGAGAGACCAGAGAGAGCCCAGAGAGAGACCAGAGAGAGAGACCAGAGAGAGCCCAGAGAGAGAGAGACCAGAGAGAGCCCAGAGAGAGACCAGAGAGAAAGACCAGAGAGAGCCCAGAGAGAGAGAGACCAGAGAGAGAGAGCCCAGAGAGAGAGTCCAGAGAGAGACCAGAGGGAGAGAGACCAGAGAGAGACCAGAGAGAGAGACCAGAGAGAGCCCAGAGAGAGAGACCAGAGAGAGAGAGCCCAGAGAGAGAGTCCAGAGAGAGACCAGAGGGAGAGAGACCAGAGAGAGAGACCAGAGAGAGCCCAGAGAGAGAGAGACCAGAGAGAGAGAGCCCAGAGAGAGAGTCCAGAGAGAGAGTCCAGAGAGAGAGACCAGAGAGAGAGACCAGAGAGAGACCAGAGAGAGACCAGAGAGAGACCAGAGAGAGAGACCAGAGAGAGAGACCAGAGAGAGAGACCAGAGAGAAAGACCAGAGAGAGAGACCAGAGAGAGAGACCAGAGAGAGAGACCAGAGAGAGACCAGAGAGAGACCAGAGAGAGAGAGACCAGAGAGAGAGACCAGAGAGATAGAGCCCAGAGAGAGAGAGCCCAGAGAGAGAGCAGAGAGAGACCAGCTTCCTCTTTAAACTCACTTTATCAAACATCTTTTATGGCGACTGCAGATGTATCATTACAATATTTCACTGTATTTGTGTGTACTTTGTGCAGTTGTGTTTTTCTGCTTGTGAAGCTCTTTGAGCAGCAGGTGTAAATGTGCTATACAGATAAATGAGTCATAAAGTACCAGAGAACATGGCGCAGCACACAGTCCCAGGAGCAGGTCTGAAATGACTGGACTCTGGCAGTTTGTTGCAGTGATCTTTGAGCTTAAACTGCAGATCCTGGACCACTCCTTTTAACAAACACATCATTTACAAACAGCTGTGAATTACACGGAGCAGATGGAACATGACTCACTCGCATTGTCCACTTTTTGTACCACAATCTTTTCAGGCGTTTGAAAGTGCGAGACCACGACCAAGAAGGACTGGCCCAGAGCCACGGTGAGCGGCTCCGGGACCCGGGCCCACAGGTTGGCGTCTTTGCCGGAGGAGAGTCGTTTATAGTTATCCAGAGATGCACTCTCCATCGCAGCTACAGGAGAAAGTTATTACAGGGTCACCTTTATTTATATAGCGCCTTATCCCAGAGTCACAAAGCACTTTACAATTTGTCAGCAGCACGACAGACGTTATGACTGTACCTCTGCTCTATTAATGTACTGTACCTCTGCTCTATTAATGCAGTAAATAATGCATTAATAAGTGTGTTCTGTGTTTCCAGACTATAAGCCACATCCCACTGAATGAAATCTACCGGGACTCTTCACTTTCACGTCTGCAGAGAAACAAACTTTTAAACTGTATTAAGTCTGCTCTGTTAATACTGCATTTGTATAATATCACACTAGTATTTTCCGAGTTGACGAGGGTGAGTATAATGACTGATGTATAATACTTTGTAGACAGAATCAGAGTAGTTCAGTTGGGCCGCAGCAGTCAAAGTGAGGACAAAAGCTGTGGCTTAAAGTCCAGAACTTTAGTTATCTGTAGTTTTAACGTATGTTTTAATCTCTTGCATGTTTTTGTGATTCATGTTTTGAGAAGTGTGATTTTTAATGTTACTGATGTTTGCCTTCTGTGATGGGGCCTTGAAGCAGTGAGTTTCTTTGTGCACTAAAAGCACTAAAAGTTGAGTGATAATGAACTTCTACTCAGTCTGTGGAAAGACATAATAATAAAGCTCTTGTTTGCAGACAGCCCTGACTGATGTTTTTAATACCTATGTCCTCTTCAGTCGGTGCCGTGTTGATGGTTCTCTTCGTTGCATAGTCACGCTCCAGAAGAAAGGAGCTCAGAGGAGTTCCTGAAACATGTTTAAAAATATTATTAAAACCAACTAAGGCCATTTCAGAAACTAATCCACCAAAACCGTACCATTGGAGAGCACCACCTCGACCTCGAGCATTCGACCGCTCAAAGCATTTGTCACTTTTATGGTGAATACCTTTCCTTCCACCAGCTGCCGTAACGATATACAACACTGATCCGACCAAGACTCAGCAGCGGGGACTAGAGCCATACAGCACTCAATCGCCTGAAAACATGAACAATAACCATCAGCAGAGGGGACTAGAGCCATACAGCACTCAATCGCCTGAAAACATGAACAATAACCATCAGCAGAGGGGACTAGAGCCATACAGCACTCAATCGCCTGAAAACATGAACAATAACCATCAGCAGAGGGGACTAGAGCCATACAGCACTCAATCGCCTGAAAACATGAACAATAACCATCAGCAGAGGGGACTAGAGCCATACAGCACTCAATCGCCTGAAAACATGAACAATAACCATCAGCAGTAAACAGGCCCTTTGATTCTGGAGTTAGTCTGTTTTTAATTACTACAGAGTTATTCATTTATCTTGTGCTGTGTGCTCCTCATTCCTACTGTTATGTCACTTGTGATGCAACACTGAAATGTCCCCGCTGTGGGACAAATCAAGGATGTCTAACGTTAATACTCACACAGGGGCTGAACTGCTGTAGTTCGGCTGTCAAAGGTTTTATTCTCACAAAGGGGGCTTCCTCCTCGTTGCCAAAGTCTATATAAAGGACATGAGCTGTGTTTTTGTCCACAGCCACACTTTGGATCAGACCACGGTACCAGTTCTACAACAGGAGAATAAATGACACAACACAAGTATATGTAAGATTCTCATGTAAAGTCTTCATTAAAGGGCCCTAATCTGTCATCATTAAAGGGCCCTAGTCTGTCATCATTAAAGGGCCCTAATCTGTCATCATTAAAGGGCCCTAATCTGTCATCATTAAAGGGCCCTAGTCTGTCATCATTAAAGGGCCCTAATCTGTCATCATTAAAGGGCCCTAATCTGTCATCATTAAAGGGCCCTAATCTGTCATCATTAAAGGGCCCTAGTCTGTCATCATTAAAGGGCCCTAATCTGTCATCATTAAAGGGCCCTAATCTGTCATCATTAAAGGGCCCTAATCTGTCATCATTAAAGGGCCCTAGTCTGTCATTAAAGGGCCCTAGTCTGTCATCATTAAAGGGCCCTAGTCTGTCATCATTAAAGGGCCCTAGTCTGTCATCATTAAAGGGCCCTAGTCTGTCATCATTAAAGGGCCCTAGTCTGTCATCATTAAAGGGCCCTAGTCTGTCATCATTAAAGGGCCCTAGTCTGTCATCATTAAAGGGCCCTAATCTGTCATCATTAAAGGGCCCTAGTCTGTCATCATTAAAGGGCCCTAGTCTGTCATCATTCAAGGGCCCTAGTCTGTCATCATTCAAGGGCCCTAATCTGTCATCATTAAAGGGCCCTAATCTGTCATCATTAAAGGGCCCTAATCTGTCATCATTAACTCATTGACTGCCATTGACGTGTTAACACGTCAAACTAAATAGTAACGTTGTCTGCCAATGACGTGTTAACACGTCAATTGCGTTTCCCGCTATTTTTACGTTCCCAGCTGTCCATTGAATCTAATATGTGGAGATTGGCTTGAGGCAATACTTTATGGAGCCAGCAGATGGCAGCATTGCGCTATGAATGGTTTGAACACAGCTAGATGCACTGTTTGTGGCCCTTTTTTCTCAGCTTTCTGGTGATTTCAATAAAACTTCCCTCTACTCAACTGGGGATTACAGAAGAACTAAACAAGATAGAAACAAAATTCTTTTTGCTGGTGAGAGTAGACAGCCCATTCTTTCAGAATCTAGTTTTAGATTTCAGATAGTCAAAGTACACAATATTCTGTGGGTCTTGAAAAATCAGTAAAAACCACCAGAAACGGCTGGCAATATAGGAGTACCTGTTTTGAAATGGGCTGGCAGTCAATGAGTTAAAGGGCCCTAGTCTGTCATCATTAAAGGGCCCTAGTCTGTCATCATTAAAGGGCCCTAGTCTGTCATCATTAAAGGGCTTTACATGAGAGCCCTTACATCAGGGAGAGTGGGGGAGGCTGCAGTACCACTTTTGGCCACAGTTTTACAGACTGCTCTTTAACATGATTGACATGTGGGACTTGCCTTGTCGCAGGAGTACTGCACGGCGCACACCTCGTCCACGTGGGGGGTGTGTAGCAGCGCCGTGGGGATGCTGAAGTTTATCTGGAGCTCTTTGGTGATGGACTTCAAACCCTCAAGGTTCTCTTTGTTTTGGGGAATGACAAAGAAACGTCCAGGGCTATAAACCTCCACGACTGACGCCTGACAGATAATCACAGAGACATAAGATCATGAAGGTATTGTTGATTTCATTTTGTTACCTCCATTTCTGTTCCTTTGATCGCTCTTGTGGGTAAGTCTCTCATGTATACTCTCTGGATGCTGGTTGTGTCTGAATGCTGCAGCAGAATATAAGACAATAACGGTTACTAGACAATAGTTCTCAGTATTAATGCTGCTTAAAACTTACTTATTTTCAACAAAAATTCAAAATAAGTTTTTTAAAATAACATTAATATGAAAACTTACAATTGTGTTTTCTCTGTTGGTAGGTGGAGTCACAGCAGTGCCTGGTGACAGAAAACTATGTTTAAAGATGCAAAGTAAAGCTGTTTTGGAGTGTAATGAATCCCCAGTGCTTCGAGGTGAAGCTGATGTGTCTAAATATATCTTTTCATTTCGCTGCGATGCCTCAAACCTCGTCTGAATCACCGTTTCCAGTTGTGTCTGCTAGGCTAATGCTGCTAGGCTAATGCTGCTAGGCTAATGCTGCTAAATGCCGGTTGTTTTATTGCTTTCTGCTGGCGTCTGAGCGCCTGAGCTAGCTTTAGCCAATCAGCGTCGGGTTAACTTTAAGTCCCACCAGGGCCCAACGGAGTAACTAGCATGGAGGATGGACCTAGCATGGAGGATGGACCTAGCATGGAGGAGGGACTACGTTGGGCCCCATAAAAGTTCCTGTGAATGGCCCTGTGGGGAAAGTTCCTGCAGTAGACACGCAACGATGTAGCCTGGTCTTATCCATCCGTACACTCCGTTCAATCATCATTTCACTGCATGTAACGTCTGGGTCTAGTCCCTGTGTTTGCGATTGAATTTCGACCGACCAATCAGAGAGCGCGGAAGGTAGGTGTTGTAGTTAGTTGTGGGTGACGTCAAGAGTTTGCGTCGAACAGGAAGGTTGTAGTTTGGTAATGGCGAAAAATGCGATAGTAAAGTAATCTGGTCTGTTCTATCAAGAAATGGAAGCCGGAGCAAGAGGAATGTTTAGCAAATGAAATCGCTGGAAAAAATTGTGGCGCTACTCCCCACGGGCTCCGTTAGCGGCAAAGGAGATGGCTAAAGCTAGGCTAAATGCTAACAACAGACTCAGGCTCATTACATACGTCACAGTAAACTCAGATCCAATCTTTCAATCTGCAAAAGCAGTTAGCCCCTCCCACCTGTTCACGGAGTCAATGGAGCAGATCCAGACCTTAGTATGAAATGTCATTTGTACTATGGTGTGGTAAGACCAGACTAGCTCCGAAGGGACTATGCAGTACTGTTCCACTGCATGTTTTTGAAATCTGAAGGCCAAATTACTGCCATATTGATGCAAATGTTGATTAGAGGTTCCTTTATGCAGTATAATATCCCATGTATTCTGTAACATCTCACACATTGTTCTTTTCATCAGTCCTAATTGTCAATCATTCTGGTGTGTTTGTCCAATAAGACCAGAGTTTTGCTCAATAAGTGGAGAGGGCGGTTTTTTCCAAAAACGTGAAAATCCTCCTTTATACCTTCGCTTTAACCCCGTAGCACCCTCTGTTACAAATGTGACAAAGTTATGGTGAAAGAAGTCTAGATCTTTTTGATCTACCCAAAAACCTTAAGAAGCCATAATAGCCCAAAAATATGAAAATAGCACAGAAGATTTATTTCAACAAATATGTGTGGGTTCTGCATGGTTGAGATAAGTAGTTTTTGATTAGAATACATGCAGTACCTCCAGAGTTGCTGACAGTCTCAGGTGAGGTCGGTCCAGCCCCACATGGAGCCGTGGGACTGGACAAAGGCTTCCTCAGAGGCAGGTTAGGCCGAGCCAAGTTAGGCCGAGCCAAGTTAGGCCGAGCCAAGAGCGGGGAGAAAGCGGAGATCATGATTAAATCAGCGTGACTGACCTGAGAATGGTTCAAATGAAACATGGCATTAGTAAAAACACGTGTCAAGTTTATAGCTTATGCTAACAATGCTAACAATGCTAACAATGCTAACAATGCTAACAATGCTAGGTAGTTCAGGAGGATGAAAACCTTTCAGCGAAACTAGTCAAAGCTTTAAAACTGCAATCTCAGACGATAGATAATGTCTTAGAATATTTAAAATATACTTGTATACATCGAATTAGTAACGAATATCAGCAAGAATATGTTTTACGTAGACTTACGTTGACTCACGTGCTGTGGAAGATGAAAGAGAGGACCAGCGCATGCGCAGTGCACAGGATCTACGTCAACACATTGATCATCCGAAAACTGACAGGATCAAAGTTATTTATTTATTTAATTATATACTAAGAATTTGTTATAATAATCTTTTTTTGAGAAGTGTAATCAATGTGAATGTGGCCTAAAAATGCAATAGCAAACCTCAGACAACAGGGGGAGCCAAAGAGCCAACCTTCAGAATCAGAAAGTGCAGGTAACATGTGTCCACTGTCACTTTAGTTTAGCCCAGACACTGTTTTTATTTCTATTTAATGTATCCTTTCATCCCTAGTTTTTTTGAATCACAGATGAATTGTTTCATGCTGTAAAACATGTTCATATTTGTTCTAATATCGAAAGTAGTTATGGCTCTGTCTGCTCTGGGTTTATATCATCCATCCATCTTCTACCCTTTAATCCATTTCTGGGTCAGGGGAGTCTCATAGCACCAGCCCCTCACTGACCCTCTGCAGGTGGTGAGTCCACAGGAGGACGGCTGCTCTCTGAGTGTGAGCATAGCCTTGATCTTTCAGTGGGGGCTTTGGGCAAAGTGGGGTTAAGTGTCTTGCCCAAGGACACAACGACAGCAGTCATCAGCGGGAGTCGGTGGAGAAGGTGCAGAGGTGGGTTTATATCTTCATTGGAATTTTTTTTTTTTTAGACTTTGTTTTTTGTGTGAATGTGAAAAATATGTTGTCTCTTTTGTCCTTTGTGTGTATGTGTGTTATGCTTATATTTGTTGTCTGTCTTGATTGTCCTTAAAAGGTCCACTGTGTAGTTTTTACTCCCATCTAGCATTGAGATCATATTGTTATCTACGGAAGCCTTCGCAGGACAATGTCGCCTTTGACACTGGTCCAACTCCTTTTTATTCCCTTATGGAGCACTGTATTTCAAGATGGCAGATTGACATGTAGTCCTCAGCCTCATGGACACAAGTCATCTCTAAGTCTATGAAAACAATTCACAAACCTGGAGGTAAATATTCTTAAAAAGGTCAGATTTGTTATTGGTTAATACGTTTTCATTGGGAGCAACTAAAAATTACACAGAGGACCTTTAAATAAAAGATAAAACACCAGCTAATGTCAAAATGTTTTTTAATTATCTCACTATCAAGACATTCCATATTCTTTGATATAGTTATAGAATTTCTGACATAAATCTGGATTCTTTGTGTTTTTTTGCAGCCATAAACCACATATACACGTGTAAGAAACAAGAGAATCACTTTTCATTTCACAAATTTATAGATTTTTCATTCCAGGTTTCTTTTATTAAGAAATTATCAATGTCAGATTTATTTGTATAGCACATTTACAACAGCAGCAGCAGCAGCGCTTCACATGCACAAAAGATCAACACAGAATTAAAAACTACCTGAAACTCGACTCCTTTCAATACTTTCTGATACTTTCCATCTGCTTAAAAGAGTCCTCAGAGAGTGACCCTGTGTGTCTCAGGCTGTCTGAGAGGGGAGAGACCAGGGGAGAGACCAGGGGAGAGACCAGGCGAGAAAGACCAGGGGAGAGACCAGGGGAGAGACCAGGGGAGAGACCAGGGCAGAGAGAGACCAGGGGAGAGACCAGGGAGAGACCAGGGAGAGACCAGGGGAGAGACCAGGGGAGAGACCAGGGCAGAGACCAGGGGAGAGACCAGGCGAGAGACCAGGGGAGAGACCAGGGGAGAGACCAGGGGAGAGACCAGGGGAGAGACCAGGCGAGAAAGACCAGGGGAGAGACCAGGGGAGAGACCAGGGGAGAGACCAGGGCAGAGAGAGACCAGGGGAGAGACCAGGCGAGAAAGACCAGGGGAGAGACCAGGGGAGAGACCAGGGGAGAGACCAGGGCAGAGAGAGACCAGGGGAGAGACCAGGGAGAGACCAGGGGAGAGACCAGGGGAGAGACCAGGGAGAGACCAGGGAGAGACCAGGGGAGAGACCAGGGGAGAGACCAGGGGAGAGACCAGGCGAGAAAGACCAGGGGAGAGACCAGGGGAGAGACCAGGGCAGAGAGAGACCAGGGGAGAGACCAGGCGAGAAAGACCAGGGGAGAGACCAGGGGAGAGACCAGGGCAGAGAGAGACCAGGGGAGAGACCAGGGAGAGACCAGGGGAGAGACCAGGGAGAGACCAGGGGAGAGACCAGGGGAGAGACCAGGGCAGAGAGAGACCAGGGGAGAGACCAGGCGAGAAAGACCAGGGGAGAGACCAGGGGAGAGACCAGGGGAGAGACCAGGGCAGAGAGAGACCAGGGGAGAGACCAGGGAGAGACCAGGGAGAGACCAGGGGAGAGACCAGGGGAGAGACCAGGGCAGAGACCAGGGGAGAGACCAGGCGAGAGACCACGGGAGAGACCAGGCGCGAGACCACGGGAGAGATCAGGCGAGAGACCAGGGGAGAGACCAGGCGAGAGACCACGGGAGAGACCAGGCGAGAGACCAGGGGAGAGAGACCAGGGGAGAGACCAGGGGAGAGACCAGGGGAGAGACCAGGGCAGAGAGAGACCAGGGGAGAGACCAGGGAGAGACCAGGCGAGAAAGACCAGGGGAGAGACCAGGGGAGAGACCAGGGCAGAGAGAGACCAGGGAGAGACCAGGGGAGAGACCAGGGCAGAGAGAGACCAGGGGAGAGACCAGGGAGAGACCAGGGAGAGACCAGGGGAGAGACCAGGCGAGAAAGACCAGGGGAGAGACCAGGGGAGAGACCAGGGCAGAGAGAGACCAGGGGAGAGACCAGGCGAGAAAGACCAGGGGAGAGACCAGGGCAGAGAGAGACCAGGGGAGAGACCAGGGAGAGACCAGGGGAGAGACCAGGGGAGAGACCAGGGGAGAGACCAGGGGAGAGACCAGGGCAGAGACCAGGGGAGAGACCAGGGCGAGAGACCAGGCGCGAGACCACGGGAGAGATCAGGCGAGAGACCAGGGGAGAGACCACGGGAGAGACCAGGCGAGAGACCAGGGGAGAGAGACCAGGGGAGAGACCAGGGGAGAGACCAGGGGAGAGACCAGGGGAGAGACCAGGGCAGAGAGAGACCAGGGGAGAGACCAGGGAGAGACCAGGCGAGAAAGACCAGGGGAGAGACCAGGGGAGAGACCAGGGCAGAGAGAGACCAGGGGAGAGACCAGGGAGAGACCAGGGGAGAGACCAGGGGAGAGACCAGGGGAGAGACCAGGGGAGAGACCAGGCGGAGAGACCAGGCGAGAAAGACCAGGGGAGAGACCAGGGGAGAGACCAGGGAGAGACCAGGGAGAGACCAGGGGAGAGACCAGGGAGAGACCAGGGGAGAGACCAGGGGAGAGACCAGGGGAGAGACCAGGGCAGAGACCAGGGCAGAGAGAGACCAGGGGAGAGACCAGGGAGAGACCAGGGAGAGACCAGGGGAGAGACCAGGGGAGAGACCAGGGCAGAGACCAGGGGAGAGACCAGGCGAGAGACCAGGCGAGAAAGACCAGGGGAGAGACCAGGGGAGAGACCAGGGAGAGACCAGGGAGAGACCAGGGGAGAGACCAGGGAGAGACCAGGGGAGAGACCAGGGGAGAGACCAGGGAGAGACCAGTGAGAGACCAGGGGAGAGACCAGGGGAGAGACCAGGCGAGAAAGACCAGGGGAGAGACCAGGGGAGAGACCAGGGGAGAGACCAGGGAGAGACCAGGGAGAGACCAGGGGAGAGACCAGGGAGAGACCAGGGGAGAGACCAGGGAAGAGACCAGGGCAGAGACCAGGGCAGAGACCAGGGGAGAGACCAGGCGAGAGACCACAGGAGAGACCAGGCGCGAGACCACGGGAGAGACCAGGGGAGAGACACCACGGGAGAGACCAGGGGAGAGAGACCAGGCGAGAGACCAGGCGAGAGACCAGGCGAGAGACCAGGCGAGAGACCAGGCGAGAGACCAGGGGAGAGACCAGGCGAGAGACCAGGCGAGAGACCAGGCGAGAGACCAGGGGAGAGACCAGGGGAGAGACCACAGGAGAGACCAGGGGAGAGACCAGGGGAGAGACCACTGGAGAGACCAGGGGAGAGACCAGGCGAGAGACCAGGGGAGAGACCACAGGAGAGACCAGGGGAGAGACCAGGGAGAGACCACAGGAGAGACCAGGGGAGAGACCAGGGAGAGACCAGGCGAGAGACCAGGGGAGAGACCAGGGGAGAGAGACCACGGGAGAGACCAGGGGAGAGACCAGGGGAGAGAGACCAGGGGAGAGAGACCACGGGAGAGAGACCACGGGAGAGACCAGGCGAGAGACCAGGGGAGAGAGACCACGGGAAAGACCAGGGGAGAGAGACCACGGGAGAGACCAGGGGAGAGACCAGGGGAGAGAGACCAGGGGAGAGACCAGGGGAGAGAGACCAGGCAAGAGACCAGGGGAGAGACCACAGGAGAGACCAGGGGAGAGAGACCACGGGAGAGACCAGGGGAGAGACCAGGGGAGAGAGACCAGGGGAGAGACCACGGGAGAGAGACCAGGGGAGAGACCAGGGGAGAGAGACCACGGGAGAGACCAGGGGAGAGACCAGGGGAGAGACCAGAGGAGAGAGACCACGGGAGAGACCAGGGGAGAGACCACGGGAGAGAGACCAGGGGAGAGACCCTGGAGGATGCTCCTACGTTCCTGAACTTTGACAAAGAGAATGGAACATGATCAGGACACTTTAGCATTCTACAACATGTATGGACATTTTCTTCTGTGTGTGCTTTATATTCTTCATGTGTTTTAACTGTTGATTCTCTGACCTGTGTTGGTGATTTCAATGGTTTTGTTAAGTCTCTGAGATGATACTGTTGTGACCTAGGGCTATACAACAATACACTGTATTGTATTGTATTGTTGTATTGATGATTCTCACACTACCCCCCAGACAGTTCTGGAGGATTCAGATTCATTTATTTGCCATTTGCAGTAACACCACATTGGAATACATCCGCAAAAGTCCCCAGTGTGCACAAGACAAGAACAGACACAAAACAACATTAAAAGACAGAAATAAAACAAATAAAACAGTAAACAATTGTCACTGTGAAACGATCGATTTCACAGTGACAATTGTTTACTGTTTTATTTGTTGTTGGAGTCGTTAACTTTGAGCTCCTGTAGGGAACAAAGCTCTCCTGAAGGAAGAAGGGCCCAAATGAATGTTTTGGTCAATATTCAGTTCAGTGCAACGACAAACCTTGTTGGCATTTACAGTGGGGCAAAAAAGTATTTAGTCAGCCACCGATTGTGCAAGTTCTCCCACTTAAAATAATGACACAGGTCTGTAATGTTCATCATAGGTTCACTTCAACTGTGAGAGACAGAATGTGAAAAAAAAAATCCAGGAATTCACATTGTAGGATTTTTAAAGAATTTATTTGTAAATGATGGTGGAAAATAAGTATTTGGTCACTTCACACAAGGAAGATCTCTGGCTCTCACAGACCTGTAACTTCTTCTTTAAGAAGCTCTTCTGTCCTCCACTCGTTATTGGGGCTGTTTTTCTGCTAAGGGGACAGGACGACTGATCCATGTTAAGGAAAGAATGAATGGGGCCATGTATCGTGAGATTTTGAGCCAAAACCTCCTTCCATTGAGTTGAATTTCTATTATTGACCAAATACTTATTTTCCACCATCATTTACAAATGAATTCTTTAAAAATCCTACAATGTGAATTCCTGGATGTTTTTTTCACATTCTGTCTTTCACAGTTGAAGTGAACCTATGATGAACATTACAGACCTCTGGGAGAACTTGCACAATCGGTGGCTGACTAAATACTTTTTTGCCCCACTGTATAGATACCATCTCTTTGAACCTGACGACTGATGCCTGGCTTTTCAGCATCCTCTCACTTCCTGCCAGATCCACCAGGCACAGAGCAGCTGAAACAGTTTACCAGAGACTGTTACCAACATGGCAACGTTAAAACATAACACTCTGCAAGTGTGAGCATAGCCTTGATCTTTCAGCGGGGGCTTTTTGGGCAAAGTGTCTTGCCCAAAGACACAACCACAGCAGTCATCAGTGGGAGTTGGTGGAGAAGGTGTCAAGGTGGGAATAGAACCCACAACCTTCAGGCCTAAAGGTCAATGCTCTACCAACTGAGCTAATGTTGCCCCTGGGCTCCAAACAAACTGCACCTGGACAGACACAGGAGAAATCATTGGATTGGATCACTTTACATTACCGGACACTAAAGCACCACGAGGCCTTCACTAATCTGACCAAAACCATAAAGAAAACACTGAACTGAACTCAAACCATAAAGGTTTAAAAGGGTTTTGTTTTGTGGCAATTATTTACCTTTTATTTGTCTGTTTACTTCTTGTCTTTTTTATGTACAAAGGTCTTATTTTTTGTCTTGTCTACATTTTTTCAATACAAGTTATTATTAATACAGTGATACTTCTCTCCGTGTCTTCATTCCCACAAGCTCCCAAACAGAATCTAGGTTCTGTCATGTAAACCAGTGTTGCCAACTCCTCAGTAAGGAAAGTAGCTATTGGCTGTCCCAAAAGTCGCTAGAAGTCGCTAAATGACGTCATCGCCTAATTTGCATAATTTGCCATTTGCAAATAACTGTAACGGACGCTGTAGGAGAGAGGAATAAGGTCGTGGGAGAGACAAAAGTGAGTAAAAACACCCTAAATATGTTTAGAACTACAAATGTACAAAAATAATTTCAACATTAACAACATTTAATGATTTTAATGCTTTGTCTAGATCCACATTACACACATCAGTTTTGTCCTGTATTGTTAAATGTTATAACAGCAAATGTAATCAAAAGATTGTTATGTAGGGTGAAATTGCTAGCTCTACAACCAACCCTCCTCCTTTATCCGGGCTTGGGACCGGCAAAGTGACCCAAAAGACACACTCTGGCAGAGTTACTTTGGTTTATTTTTGTAAGTTTTTTTTTTTTTTCATAGTTTGGCATAACAAATGATTTAATGTGACCCACTACTGAGAGAAAACAGAGTCACGGACAGAGCTGCCGCGGATGGAGTGGGGGGTAGTGGGGGGTGGCGGTGGTAGGAGTGGCCGGGGAGCTTTGGATGTGTGGTGGTGGTGGAGCTGAAGTTCAGTCTGCAGCAGCCTGAAAACTTCCTGTGCTTTTGAGTCTCCTCTCTCTCTCTCTGCTCCGCCCATAGACTGTAGCTGGGACTGCTGCGCAAGGCTACTGTGAGACTGGCCGCCTGTAAGTGCTTTGGGACGGGGGAGGGGCTCACGTTGAGGACAGCAGAACAATACGTGCTTCACGAGTCTCCGAAACACCAGATAAGTCGCCAAAACACCAGATAAGTCGCCAATAACACCAGAAAAAGTCGCTAGATTTGTCGCTAGTCGCTTTTTTGAAAAAAAGTCGCTATAGGGGTCTGAAAAGTCGCTAAATCTAGCGACAAAGTCGCTAAGTTGGCAACACTGATGTAAACCACCAATAACTATCCCCAATACATTTTATTTTAATTAGTGACAGGACATTCTGCAGAAACACACACCAGTAAGAACAAGGTAAAAACTGATCAATGTTACGACTGTGTTTAGTCCAAGGACATGAAAAGTCATTTAAAAAGACCAAAACAATTATATACTGTAGTGTTGTCATTTGCAAACACATGAATGAAACTTGGATCTATCTGTTCCACAGACTGTAGCCACGCTACACTCATCTTGTAGTGCAAGGTTAATTATATTTATCAGGATACTATGCTAGAAACAAGGCATAAGAGAATATGGATGACATTAAGTTGTCATCAATATCCATTAAATGTCAAAACCATGATAAAAGTCCATGTGTTTTTCATTACACCATAAAACATTTGTGGCAGTCACTATGCCATGTTTGCATCCTCGCTTTGGAATGTTAAAAGCACTTACCGCATGTTTCCAAGCTTCACCAGGAGCTTCTCCAGGAGCTTCTCCAGGAGCTTCTCCAGGAGCTTCTCCAGGAGCTTCACCAGGAGCTTCACCAGGAGCTTCACCAGGAGCTTCACCTGGAGCTTCTCCAGGAGCTTCTCCAGGAGCTTCTCCAGGAGCTTCACCAGGAGCTTCACCAGGAGCTTCTCCAGGAGCTTCACCAGGAGCTTCACCAGGAGCTTCTCCTGGAGCTTCACCAGGAGCTTCACCAGGAGCTTCTCCAGGAGCTTCACCAGGAGCTTCTCCAGGAGCTTCACCAGGAGCTTCTCCAGGAGCTTCACCAGGAGCTTCACCAGGAGCTTCACCTGGAGCTTCACCACGAGCTTCACCAGGAGCTTCACCAAGAGCTTCACCAGGAGCTTCACCAGGAGCTTCAGGAGTTTCACCAGGAGCTTCAGGAGCTTCACCAGGAGCTTCACCAGGAGCTTCTCCAGGAGCTTCACCAGGAGCTTCACCAAGAGCTTCACCAGGAGCTTCAGGAGCTTCACCAGGAGCTTCACCAGGAGCTTCACCAGGAGCTTCACCTGGAGCTTCACCCGGAGCTTCACCAGGAGCTTCACCAGGAGCTTCACCAGGTGCTTCTCCAGGAGCTTCACCAGGAGCTTCACCAGGAGCTTCACCAGGAGCTTCTCCAGGAGCTTCACCAGGAGCTTCACCAGGAGCTTCACCAGGAGCTTCACCAGGAGCTTCACCAGGAGCTTCTCCAGGAGCTTCAGGAGCTTCACCAGGAGCTTCAGGAGCTTCACCAGGAGCTTCACCAGGAGCTTCACCAGGAGCTTCACCAGGAGCTTCACCAGGAGCTTCAGGAGCTTCACCAGGAGCTTCACCAGGAGCTTCACCAGGAGCTTCACCAGGAGCTTCTCCAGGAGCTTCAGGAGCTTCACCAGGAGCTTCAGGAGCTTCACCAGGAGCTTCACCAGGAGCTTCACCAGGAGCTTCACCAGGAGCTTCACCAGGAGCTTCAGGAGCTTCACCAGGAGCTTCACCAGGAGCTTCACCAGGAGCTTCAGGAGCTTCACCAGGAGCTTCAGGAGCTTCACCAGGAGCTTCAGGAGCTTCTCCAGGAGCTTCACCAGGAGCTTCACCAGGAGCTTCACCAGGAGCTTCACCAGGAGCTTCACCTGGAGCTTCACCACGAGCTTCACCAGGAGCTTCACCAAGAGCTTCACCAGGAGCTTCACCAGGAGCTTCAGGAGCTTCACCAGGAGCTTCAGGAGCTTCACCAGGAGCTTCACCAGGAGCTTCAGGAGCTTCACCAGGAGCTTCACCAGGAGCTTCACCAGGAGCTTCTCCAGGAGCTTCAGAAGCTTCACCAGGACCTTCAGGAGCTTCACCAGGAGCTTCAGGAGCTTCACCAGGAGCTTCTCCAGGAGCTTCACCAGGAGCTTCAGGAGCTTCACCAGGAGCTTCTCCAGGAGCTTCACCAGGAGCTTCTCCTGGAGCTTCACCAGGAGCTTCTCCAGGAGCTTCACCAGGAGCTTCACCAGGAGCTTCTCCAGGAGCTTCACCAGGAGCTTCTCCTGGAGCTTCACCAGGAGCTTCTCCAGAAGCTTCTCCAGGAGCTTCACCAGGAGCTTCTCCAGGAGCTTCACCAGGAGCTTCACCAAGAGCTTCACCAGGAGCTTCACCAGGAGCTTCACCAGGAGCTTCACCAGGAGCTTCTCCAGGAGCTTCACCAGGAGCTTCTCCTGGAACTTCACCAGGAGCTTCTCCAGGAGCTTCACCAGGAGCTTCTCCTGGAGCTTCACCAGGAGCTTCACCAGGAGCTTCACCAGGAGCTTCTCCAGGAGCTTCTCCAGGAGCTTCTCCAGGAGCTTCTCCTGGAGCTTCACCAGGAGCTTCTCCAGGAGCTTCACCAGGAGCTTCACCAGGAGCTTCTCCAGGAGCTTCACCAGGAGCTTCACCAGGAGCTTCACCAGGAGCTTCTCCAGGAGCTTCACCAGGAGCTTCTCCAGGAGCTTCTCCAGGAGCTTCTCCTGGAGCTTCACCAGGAGCTTCTCCAGGAGCTTCACCAGGAGCTTCTCCTGGAGCTTCACCAGGAGCTTCACCAGGAGCTTCACCAAGAGCTTCACCAGGAGCTTCACCAGGAGCTTCACCAGGAGCTTCACCAGGAGCTTCTCCAGGAGCTTCACCAGGAGCTTCTCCAGGAGCTTCTCCAGGAGCTTCTCCTGGAGCTTCACCAGGAGCTTCTCCAGGAGCTTCACCAGGAGCTTCTCCAGGAGCTTCTCCTGGAGCTTCTCCTGGAGCTTCACCAGGAGCTTCTCCAGGAGCTTCACCAGGAGCTTCACCAGGAGCTTCTCCAGGAGCTTCACCAGGAGCTTCACCAGGAGCTTCTCCAGGAGCCCAACTCCTCTTCATTGGCCACTTAGACTTTCTGCTGTTGCCGCAGAGAAAGAGCGGCCACAGCTGCTTACCATGTAGTGAGAAGTTGTTGCAGTCAAAGTTAATGTTCATTTCAGCAGAAGTCTCTGAAAAAGAAGAACACAAACAAACATACATTAAAACATGGACATCACACATTTGAGTTTCTTTTCACACTTTGTATTCAATTAATATTACTAATTAATATAACAGGGGCCTAGCATTTAAATCGCAACAAACTGGTAAAAATAAAATACCTTCCAGTATTTAATATTAAAGAGGTATAAGCTTCACAGCAGAAAAATAGAATAGAATATTCACTCAAATAACGAACTTAGAAGCATTGCTAACCACTTAACTCATTGACTGCCGTGGACGTATTTGGCTGAGGTGATTTCTGTCAAACTTCTCTCTATTCAACTGAAGATTACAGCAGAACAAAACTAGCAGATGGTCCAATCTTTCAGAATCTGGTTTCATATTTATTATAGTCACAGCACACAATCTATGGGTCTCGAAAGTCACAGCTGGCAGTCAAAGCGTTAAAAACTGTCTTTATGGAAGTGGGACTTTGTCATCTGCAAATGTCTTTTATTAAAGACAAAAGTAACATCTGTATAATGTGCTTATCTTACTATACTATATTTACCAGACTTTTGTACGAAAAGTGCTTTATAATAAGCCTTAGCCGATTCTGTAATTTCATACATGTCTAATATATACAGTAAATGAAAATAAATATACATTATTCCCAGTCTGTGTTTATAATGCTTAATCCCATACTATCTTATATCAATACATAAAACAGGTGTTAGCACTATGGTTAGCATGCTACAGCTGCCGTCTCCTCTGTGTAGCTTTAATATTAAGTCTGTGGGGTTGTTTCTCCTTAAAGAATATGATTTTTCTTGATCAAACACGTTCTCAATGGACTGAATAGTCTGGTGTTAGCATTAGCTTAGCTTTTCGGGACAACAGAGTTTAATCACGGCAGAAAACAAGGTTTCAAACAAACGTCTGTGGCAGATCTAACTTATGTCTGTATCGTAACAGACCGAGGTGAAGTTAGCCGAACGTTTGATATTCGAACAAAATCCCCCTGGATTCAAAGTCTGTCCGTATTTTCAGTTTAGTGAAGAGTGTAGTATTAAATGCTGTTCACAATGTTGCCACCTATATAAAAAAACCTGTACTTAGGCTGCAGCTGACGATTTATAACACGAAAAACAATGAAGATGAAGTCTCCGCTCGTACGTGTGATAAGCTCTCAGCAAGGGACCGTCTGCAAAGTGCAAGATTTGACAGAACGTTGCAGATGGGTTGGTGAATACAATAAAAACTGCTTTTAAAAAGTAGTTTTTCCCAGTTTTGATGGGTGTAATAGCTCCATTTGAGCAATAGCTAGCTACTACAAGCAAGAATTTGGGAAAAATATGGTTTTCCCCTTCACAGCAACAAAAATGAAATTGAAAAAATTCACTAAAAATCAACAAAGATATTTTTCCCAGTTTTGATGGTTGTAGTAGCTCCATTTGAGCAATAGCTAGCTACTACAGGCAAGAATTTGGGAAAAATATGGTTTTCCCCTTCACAGTAACGAAAATGAAATTTGAAAAATTCACTAAAAATCAACAAAGATATTTTTCCCAGTTTTGATGGTTGTAGTAGCTCCATTTGAGCAATAGCTAGCTACTACAGGCAATAATTTGGGAAAAATATGGTTTTCCCCTTCACAGTAACGAAAATGAAATTGGAAAAATTCACTAAAAATCAACAAAGAATTTTTTCCCAGATTTGATGGGTGTAGTAGCTCCCAATGAACAATAGCTAGCTACTACAGGCAAGAATTTGGGAAAAATATGGTTTTCCCCTTCACAGTAACGAAAATGAAATTGGAAACATTTACTAAAAATCAACAAAGATATTTTTCCCAGATTTGATGGGTGTAGTAGCTCCCATTCAATGATAGCTAGCTACTACAGGCAAGAATTTGGGAAAAATATGGTTTTCCCCTTCACAGTAACGAAAATGAAATTGGAAAAATTCACTAAAAATCAACAAAGATATTTTTCCCAGTTTTGATGGGTGTAGTAGCTCCATTTGAGCAATAGCTAGCTACTACAGGCAAGAATTTGGGAAAAATATGGTTTTCCCCTTCACAGTAACGAAAATGAAATTGGAAAAATTCACTAAAAATCAACAAAGATATTTTTCCCAGTTTTGATGGTTGTAGTAGCTCCATTTGAGCAATAGCTAGCTACTACAGGCAAGAATTTGGGAAAAATATGGTTTTCCCCTTCACAGTAACGAAAATGAAATTGGAAAAATTCACTAAAAATCAACAAAGATATTTTTCCCAGTTTTGGTGGGTGTAGTAGCTCCATTTGAACAATAGCTAGCTACTACAGGCAAGAATTTGGGAAAAATATGGTTTTCCCCTTCACAGTAACGAAAATGAAATTGGAAAAATTCACTAAAAATCAACAAAGATATTTTTCCCCAGATTTGATGGGTGGAGTAGCTCCCATTCAATGATAGCTAGCTACTACAGGCAAGAATTTGGGAAAAATATGGTTTTCCCCTTCACAGTAACGAAAATGAAATTGGAAAAATTCACTAAAAATCAACAAAGATATTTTTCCCAGTTTTGATGGGTGTAGTAGCTCCATTGGAGCAATAGCTAGCTACTACAGGCAAGAATTTGGGAAAAATATGGTTTTCCCCTTCACAGTAACAAAAATGAAATTGGAAAAATTAACTAAAAATCAACAAAGACACTTTTCAGGGTTTTGATGGTTGTAGTAGCTCCAATTGAACAGTAGCTAACACTTCAAACAAGGAAGATCTCTGGCTCTCACAGACCTGTAACTTCTTCTTTAAGAAGCTCTCTTTACCTATAGTAATGGCACCTGTTATCTCGTACAGAACTCGTTATCTGTATAAAAGACACCTGTCCACAGCCTCAAACAGTCAGACTCCAAACTCCACTATGGCCAAGACCAAAGAGCTGTCGAAGGACACCAGGAAAAGAATTGTAGACCTGCACCAGACTGGGAGGAGTGAATCTACAATAGGCAAGCAGCTTGGTGTGAACAAATCAACTGTGGGAGCAATTATCAGAAAATGGAAGACATACAAGACCACTGATAATCTCCCTCGATCTGGGGCTCCACGCAAGATCTCATCCCGTGGGGTCAAAATGATCATGAGAACGGTGATCAAATATCCCAGAACCACACGGGGGGACCTGGTGAAGGACCTGCAGAGAGCTGGGACCAAAGTAACAAAGGTTACCATCAGTAACACACTACGACGACAGGGAATCAAATCCTGCAGTGCCAGACGTGTCCCCCTGCTGAAGCCAGTGCATGTCCAGGCCCGTCTGAAGTTTGCCAGAGAGCACATGGATGATCCAGGCCCGTCTGAAGTTTGCCAGAGAGCACATGGATGATACAGCAGAGGATTGGGAGAATGTCATGTGGTCAGATGAAACCAAAATACAACTGTTTGGTATAAACTCAACTCGTCGTGTTTGGAGGAAGAACAATACTGAGTTGCATCCCAAGAACACCATACCTACTGTGAAGCATGATGGAAACGTCATGCTTTGGGGCTGTTTTTCTGCTAAGGGGACACGAAGACTGATCTGTGTTAAGGAAAGAATGGACGGGGCCATGTATTGTGAGATTTTGAGCCAAAACCTCCTTTCATCAGTGAGAGCTTTGAAGATGAAACGTGGCTGGGTCTTCCAGCATGACAATGATCCTAAACACACCGCCCGGGCAACGAAGGAGTGGCTCCGTAGGAAGCATTTGAAAGTCCTGGAGTGGCCTCGCCAGTCTCCAGACCTCAACCCCATTGAACATCTGTGGAGGGAGTTGGGCCAAAATACCAGCTACTGTGTGTGCAAACCTGGTCAAGACCTATAGTAATCGTTTGACCTCTGTTATAGCCAACAAAGGTTATATTACAAGGTATTGAGTTGAATTTTTGTTATTGACCAAATACCTACTTTCCACCATAATTTACAAATAAATTCTTTAAAAATGTCAATTCCTGGATTTTTTTTTTCACATTATGTCTCTCACAGTTTAAATGTACCTATGATGAAAATGACAGACCTCTTTCATTATTTTAAGTGGGAGAACTTGCACAATCGGTGGCTGACTGAATACTTTTTTGCCCCACTGTATATATATATATTTACAAATTCTTGCCTGTAGTTATAGCTATTGTTCAAATGGAGCTACTACACCCATCACATTTGGGAAAAATATCTTTGTTGATTTTTAGTCTTTATTAGTCTTTTTGACCTCTTGCAATTTGCAGACGGTCCCTTGCGAATATCAGGCGAATATCAAACGTTCGGCCAACTTCACCTCGGTTCATACAGTCGTGTTCATAACTCCACAGTAAAGCAAAATGTCACTATAATGTCATAATGTCATAATAATAATAATGTCATAATGTCATAATAATAATAATGTCATAATGTCATAATGTCATAATAATAATAATAATGTCATAATGTCATAATAATAATAATGTCATAATAATAATGTCATAATGTCACTATAATGTCATAATGTCATAATAATAATAATAATGTCATAATGTCATAATGCAGGTACGTACCACAGACACATGTAACGTGTTCGCTCCGGGTCCAAGGGCAGTTGTTCAAGCTAACATGAGCGGTTCAAGCTAACATGAGCGGTTCAAGCTAACATGAGCGGTTCAAGCTAACATGAGCGGTTCAAGCTAACATGAGCGGTTCAAGCTAACATGAGCGGTTCAAGCTAACATGAGTGGTTCAAGCTAACATGAGCGGTTCAAGCTAACATGAGCGGTTCAAGCTAACATGAGCGGTTCAAGCTAACATGAGCGGTTCAAGCTAACATGAGCGGTTCAAGCTAACATGAGCGGTTCAAGCTAACATGAGCGGTTCAAGCTAACATGAGCGGTTCAAGCTAACATGAGTGGTTCAAGCTAACATGAGTGGTTCAAGCTAACATGAGCGGTTCAAGCTAACATGAGCGGTTCAAGCTAACATGAGCGGTTCAAGCTAACATGAGCGGTTCAAGCTAACATGAGTGGTTCAAGCTAACATGAGCGGTTCAAGCTAACATGAGCGGTTCAAGCTAACATGAGCGGTTCAAGCTAACATGAGCGGTTCAAGCTAACATGAGCGGTTCAAGCTAACACGAGCGGTTCAAGCTAACATGAGCGGTTCAAGCTAACATGAGCGGTTCAAGCTAACATGAGCGGTTCAAGCTAACATGAGCGGTTCAAGCTAACATGAGCGGTTCAAGCTAACATGAGCGGTTCAAGCTAACATGAGCGGTTCAAGCTAACATGAGCGGTTCAAGCTAACATGAGCGGTTCAAGCTAACATGAGCGGTTCAAGCTAACATGAGCGGTTCAAGCTAACATGAGTGGTTCAAGCTAACATGAGTGGTTCAAGCTAACATGAGCGGTTCAAGCTAACATGAGCGGTTCAAGCTAACATGAGCGGTTCAAGCTAACATGAGCGGTTCAAGCTAACATGAGTGGTTCAAGCTAACATGAGCGGTTCAAGCTAACATGAGCGGTTCAAGCTAACATGAGCGGTTCAAGCTAACATGAGCGGTTCAAGCTAACATGAGCGGTTCAAGCTAACATGAGCGGTTCAAGCTAACACGAGCGGTTCAAGCTAACACGAGCGGTTCAAGCTAACATGAGCGGTTCAAGCTAACATGAGCGGTTCAAGCTAACATGAGCGGTTCAAGCTAACATGAGCGGTTCAAGCTAACATGAGTGGTTCAAGCTAACATGAGCGGTTCAAGCTAACATGAGCGGTTCAAGCTAACATGAGCGGTTCAAGCTAACATGAGTGGTTCAAGCTAACATGAGCGGTTCAAGCTAACATGAGCGGTTCAAGCTAACACGAGCGGTTCAAGCTAACATGAGCGGTTCAAGCTAACATGAGCGGTTCAAGCTAACATGAGTGGTTCAAGCTAACACGAGCGGTTCAAGCTAACATGAGCGGTTCAAGCTAACATGAGCGGTTCAAGCTAACATGAGCGGTTCAAGCTAACATGAGCGGTTCAAGCTAACATGAGCGGTTCAAGCTAACATGAGCGGTTCAAGCTAACATGAGCGGTTCAAGCTAACATGAGTTCTGTGTATTCACGGCCGTGGCTCAGGGGAAAAGGCAGCAAAGTATTCATCAAAATCGTCTTCAAATATCTTCACAAGTTTAGTCTTGAATAAAACTTGTGTGTGGCTGTTTTTATGTCCTTATGGCCATTTACATAAACCTTCGGACATGTGTTGTTGCCCATGGTTTGTTGACAGCATTAGCCGGAAGCACTGCTAGCTACTCCCACAGGTCTGTTTCAGAGAGCTATCTCAAGATACCTCTCTGAAACAATAGGTATCTCGAGATACCGATTTTCTTATATACAATTTTTCTTTTTTTTAACTCTACTATGCCCCTTCAGCGGCTCCGTACTATATTATATCAAACAGTTGATATTAGTATCAACACTCTGCTTGTATTCAGTGTAGATGAATCTGTGGCTGCAGAGCGTGTGAAAGTCAGGACCATAACGTTGTGTAAGAAGCTGGTTTTCAGGGCGTTGCCTGGACGACCAAGGGACAAGAAGAGGGGCTTAGAGTTGGGCGTGGTCTGGGCTGTGATTGACAGCTCGCTTGTCACACACACACACACACACAAACAGAGTTGTCATTAGTGCTTGAAGCAATAGTTTACACCAGAAAGTCTAATTCCCTTGTTTACACACTAAGATGATTGTAGAGCTACACACCTGAACCTGAGCCACACCAGTGTCTCCGCAGAAGTGGCAAATGATGTAATATCATTTTAATCCACTAGATGTCGCCAGAATACTCCAGCTCGCTGCTGGGGCATGTGTGAGACTTGAACAAAAGACAAAAGAAATACGGATCAGAACTGTTAATAATAATGAATCGTTTTTTTACAGCGCTTTTTTGGACTCTCAAAGTCTCTTCACATCATTAATCTTTCTCTCCAAACACGGTGGTGATAAACTACTACTGTAGCCACAAAAGACGGGCTCAAAACCACGACCATCTGGCTCACAGGCCTCTACCAACTGAGCTACTGTCATCTCACCGACAGGTTTAGTGACTTCACACACGTGTGCACCCTCAGGCCCACTCTTCTTCTTCTATGGACAATCTCCTCCTCCACACTTCTTCTGCAGAGCTCATGCTGTGCAGCTCCATGACTTTTCCGTACCTTGGAGTGTAGTGGAAATGTAATACTCCAATGAATGGATCCAAGAGAAATAACTTGTCTTTGTGCCATTGATCGAAAAGGTGCTGAGAATAAAGAATAGAATAAAAGTGTGCAGAGTCAGACAGACACGATGCAAAGCTCCCTCTCTCACATCCACGTCCAGTTATACAGTTGTTTAGAGAAAGGACAAAGGACAGGTCACAGTGGGACATAGTGGACAACACAACACAGCACAGCACAACGCAACACAACACAACACAGCACAATACAATACAACACAATACAACACAACACAAGACCAGTTTTCATCAGTAGATGTTTATTTGAATAAAAAGTGCATTTATAGTTATCAACGGTCTAAATATATTTCCATCTTGGCTCCCGGCGAACAGAACATGGACCAAGCTACGATCTAAAGTGTACGAAGGAACATGTCACGGCTGTTTCTACGTCCTCAGAGTCAAAACCCCCAAAACCCCCAAAACCCTCATGAAAATCCAAACGTGTGAAGCACAACAGTAACAAGTCTGGATCTGGATCAAGCAGAACGTTCCTCAGTCTGTGGTTCAAAGGAATCCTGGACCAAAAGCATTTGATCCTTAATGTTGAATTCTGGGATGTTTCAGGACACAGTGCGTTCTTGATGTGGGTCTTCCAGACGTGTGCAGAGGCTCAGTTTTCACACCGACGGCTGATTGTGGCGTGACGCAGGGGTGAGGTTCTCTCGCCAGTGTTCATGGTACATTTCAAAAAGGTTTCTTCTAAGTCCCGGACATTTTCTCCCATTCCTGAGGAGACAAAGACACACGTTTAGTTTCTGTAGATCAGAGGCGTCAAACTGGTTCCTGTAGCTGCAGGTTTTTATTCCAACCAAGCAGGAGCACACCAGACTCCGCCCATTTCCTCAGGTCGTCAGGTTTACTCTCTAATCTCTGGAATCCAGGACATTTTATACAGCGGCCTGGCTTCACACAAAACATTTAACTACACTTTTCTAACATATTTGTATTTGATTTGTCTTTGTTGATCTTAAATATTATTTCTGAAAAATGCTTGCAAAAATGATAAACAATGAGGTAATAAATGCTTGAATCAAGTGTTTTTTGTCTCAAATTAGATTCTCCAATGGGACAAAGTCGTTTATTTCAAAAACTGTTGCTTTATTTTCTCATTCGAAGGAGACATTTCTGTATCTTTTCAAAACAACAAAATCAAAAGAAAATCTGGTTTTAAGGCTCATTCAGAATGTGCTTGAATTAAGACACTTTTTTTTGCCAAATTTGAGCCATTTTTGACTCATTTGAATCACCTTTTGCAGTGTAAAGGGGTTAGACTGGTCTCACTTGAGGAAATGGATTAAATCTGGTGTGCTCCTGCTTGGTTGGAATGAAAACCTGCAGCCACACCGGCCCTTTAAGAACCCTTTTGACACCTTTACTGTCGACGTAATCGTTTCCATGTTTTGTGAATTCCACGACTCACCTTCGCTTTCTGTAAAACCTTTCCTTTCGTGGCCATTATTGAGGCGGGTCTGTTCTTCAGTGCGGAGGCGGAGTTGACCGGAGAGCCTGCATCTCCGCTTGCGGGGCAGGACGTGGGGGTGGTGCAGGAGGTGGGGGTTGGGGTGGAGGAGGCTTTGGGCGTTGAGCAGGGCGAAGGTGATGATGATGATGATGATGAAGGCAGATGGACACACGGAGGAAGGGTGGAAGCTTTACACTACAGACAAATCACAGGTTCGATGTCAGTAAATCTGGTTTTAACTCAAACGACCAAACACCAAACCATTTCACATTTAAAATCAACTGCTGTAAAGTTTTCTGTATAAATGTGTCTATAATAATAATAATAATAATAATAATAATAATAATAATGATAATAATAATAATAATAATAATGATAATAATAATAATAATAATGATAATAATAATAATAACGATAATAATAACAATAACAACAACAACAACAATAATAATAATAATAATAATAATAATAATAATAATAATAATAATAATGATAATAATAATAACAAGAACAAAAACAATAATAATACTAATAATAATAATAATGATAATAAAAATGATAATAATAATAATAATAATAATGATAATAATAATAATAATAATGATAATAATAATGATAATAATAATAATGATAATAATAATGATAATAATAATGATAATAATAATGATGATAATAATAATAATGATAATAATAATGATAATAATAATAATAATAATAATGATAATAATAATGATAATAATAATAATAATGATAATAATAATGATAATAATAATAATGATAATAATAATAATAATAATAATAATAATAATAATAATGATATAGCAGGGCAGCCTTGACATGACATTATCCATGAGGTCTGTGGTTTTCAAAGGTTCCAGAGAAATGTTTATAATGTGGTGGTTCTGACCGGCTCCTGGAGGTCCAGCGTGGTCCCCAGAGTGAAGGGCCCGGACTCTGCCTTCTTCAGGTTCTCCTTGACCTCCACCAGCTGCAGCTCCACCTCCACCCTCCGCCGCTCCGCCTCCCGACAGGCCTCGTCCCGCAGCTTGAGACGCGATTCTACGGCAGCCTGAAGTTTGGGGTCTGACCGACACAGATCAATGTTTACCACATGTACTTTTTTATTATAATTATTATTTCAGAGATTTAGAAAAGCTGCTCAGAATCTGCTGTTTCTGTCATTCTTGATTAAAAAATTTGTATAATATTTTTAAACTTCCTGTTTTTTCTGTGTGTGAAGCTCTTTGGGCAGCGCTACTTTTGTAAATGTGCCATAAAAATAAACTTGACCTTTATCTTTAGATTTAGGGATTTAGGGCGTCCATTTTATCAACTCCCAGAGCAATCAATTTGACGGGTCTTCATTCTGCTTAAGTGCATTTTAGGTCTTGAACTGTAAATTTTTCTGTATAATTCGATGTTTTTTTCTAAGTCATTTCTAAATCCAAACTCATCTGGATCCTAGACGGGTCCAGATGGGTCCAGAGGGATCTCAGCTCGGAGCAGCTAAGGCAAGATTATTGGTATGGCACAATTCATACAAAAGGGAACAACATAATAATCACAGTACATTAAAAGGTAAGCAGTAGGTACCGGTTACCGTAGCAACACACTCTTTACTTGCACCAGTTTAGTTCATTCATATTTATTCAGATAAAAACAGCTGTATGTATCAGTTACCCCTGGAGGACGTCTTACTCTAATTTATTAATAACTTAAAAGTGAAAAGAGACGGAGGCTTTATGTAAATTAGAGAAATGATGACGACGGCCCAAAGTTATGTAGGAATTAAACCTGCCCGTCTAATTAGCATATCATGACGTCATATGGGCGTGGCCACCGTGAACACACAAACAGAAGGGGAAATAGTAAAACAGTGGAAAATAATGTGTGGCAGGAGTTTGAATTAATTTTATCACAATGGGGTAAATAATGTAGACTTAAGTCACCCGCGGCACCTGGAGGGATAAACGCAGTGAAAAGCAGCAGTTCCAGTTGTTTCAGATGTGTGGGTTATTGCTCCGTACCGTGGCAGGCGGTGAGCTCCTCCCGGACCTCGCTCCTCTCCTTCCTCAGATGGGACAGGCTGCTCCTCACCTCCTCCCTCTCTCTCTCCAGTCGCTCTCGCTCGTCCCGGTACTTCCTTAAATCTGCTTCTGTGCGGTTTTTTCCCAGTTTACCCTCCACTGCGCCCGGGGAACCTACACAGACAGATACAGACTCAGGACAGAGCGACCGCAACAACGACTGAGAAGATTCTGGGCTTTATTCTAAATGTTTCATGTTTTGGTGTCGACAATATTCCACTGGTTCCAACAGGACTTGAACTCATTATTATGGAACACACAAAACTGATTTTATGGAACACTGGCAACACCAATTATTAGTTTTAATGTACTTTTCTCTATTTTTTTAAATGATTATATGCCTTTACCAATGCAGTTTGATAAACGTAAACGTGCCTAAAGTCTGTGGGACCAACCAAACATTTAAAGGGGTCCTGAAAGCCAGAGGTGAAGTCCTGCTCTTCCCTGGACTGTCTTTTTATTCTTCATGTTGTGTGTTTGTGTGTTTCTGCCTCAGGACAATGGATGATAAGTAGCTCCTGTGCTAATGCCAGCATATTTATGTTGACGCTGTTTGCAGACGCATTGATTAAAGGCTACTGTCCAAAGTTCAAATAATAAATAAATGATGCTTCTGACGCTTCAAATGACTACTTCTAAATTATTTTTTTTGTAGTAGGAGTCGTTAGGCTTAGTGTTATTGTGGTAGTCTTTGTCTGAGCAGTTTGGAAACCCCAGTGTTATTATTATTCTTTTGCCTGTAATCCTGTAAACCGCCACTAGAGGGAGCTGTTGTGTCATGAAAGTGCACATCACAAACGAAGCTGCCTCAAAAGGAAAACCAAAACCACCAGTGTCTATGGAGAAGATGATATTACTGATAATTACCACACATTAACCCTATATGCCCGCGTGCATCGGCACATGTTTTACAAATGATCAATTTACTCGCGAACGGTAAAACGTAGCAACTTACTTTTTTTCCCTCTGTGAAGTACATATTCAGGGCTTTCCGAAACTAGTTGATTTGTCTGTGCGATGCACGTAGGATAAACTACGTTTGTCTGAAAGTCCGTGTCCAAAGCGTGACCCGTGAGGTACAAACAGCTGTGAGATACAAACACACGGGGACTGCCAAAGATCGTCAGAGAGTGTGATCTCTCACTCCTCTGCGTTTACTTGTTCTCCCACAGTTGAAACTACAGCTGCGATTGCAAAAACCGGCTGAAGAGTGTGCATTATTGATAAAGACGATAATAAATACAGTAAAATTACATTATGTGTATATGATGTATATAAATATATGTATTATATAAATAATTGATGTTTTTTTTTTTTGGCTCAGTTTCTTATTTTTTACGTTTTTTACAGCTGTACTACAGAAGCAACCCCAGCATTATAGACAAACTGCTTCAGGAAGGGCATCAGGAGTACAGAGTTTTTTGCTTTTATAGTGGAATTTTGTAAAAAAGTATAATAGTTAGAGATTCAATTTTTTTCCCCATTATCCCCAAGACCATAAATAACATTTCTATGCAGTGTAAAAAGTTGTTTATAGCATTTCATTGTGTTTTTTCAATACCATCCATCCATTTTCTACTCTTTAATCCATTTCTGGGTCAGGGGGGTGGCAGTCAGAGATGCCACCCAAGACTCATAGCACCAGCCCCTCACTGACCCTCTGCAGGTGGTGAGTCCACAGGAGGACGGCTGCTCTCTGAGTGTGAGCATAGCCTTGATCTTTCAGTGGGGGCTTTGGGCAAAGTGGGGTTAAGTGTCTTGCCCAAGGACACAACGACAGCAGTCATCAGTGGGAGTCGGTGGAGAAGGTGCAGAGGTGGGAATTGAACCCACGACCTTCTGGGCTTAAGGCCAATGCTCTACCAACTGAGCTACTGTCGCCCACCGATTGATTTTCCGTTTGATTTTTTTCTTTGTCTTCATGATTCCATAATTTTTATATAATTCATATGACAAGCTTTACAATATGAATATTCTAAAACCCCAGGTTGTACTGAAAAAAAGTATACTGCTTGACTCTGCATCAAAAGATGACTGTTTTATGAACAATTATACACAAAGAAAACCAGGCGAGGAAAGTTCCCCAAAATGACCCATGTGCATAGAGGGTTAAGGCACTATTATTGTTTTTAGCAGCAGAATAATCATTATTTTACTTTTCTGTGTTCAATGTTTCCCAGAAGAAAAGGTGAAAACGTAGATATTTGTAAATGTGTCTAGTTTGTAAAAAGACAGTCAGACATTTCTTCTGTCAATATGTTTCTGTTGCTCCATTAAAGCACAGGTACTGTACTTTTCACGGACAGAAATATACTTTTTCCTTTTACTTTGAAAGGTCTTGTAAAAGTACAATCTTGTGGAAAAACTCTGAGTTTACTGCTTTAGGGTCAGAGCTGATTGGCTGAGAGGGAGTTTCACTTTGTCTGAAAATGTGAAACACTGCAAAAAGTCAAAAATGGGTAGAATTTGACAGAATGTGTCTTAATTTGGGCAGATTTTGACTGAGCTTCAAAACCAGATTTTTCAATGGGACAAAGAAAAATTTTGAATTTTAAAAAGTCTCAGAAATGTCTCCGTTGGAACGAGGAAATACAGCGACAGTTACAGAATGTCTTTGTTCCACTGGAGAATCTTATTTTCTTTTTATTCTTTTTTACAGTGAATTCGTTACATGTAAATCCCAGTTTGATCGTGTCATGGTTTAAAGTCAGGTTCTGGAGCTTTAAACCAGTCCTTCTCCCGGTTTGTCCTCACCCAGAGTAAACGCCTTTGTCCTCTCTCCCCCGTTCATGTGTTTGGCTCTCGGGGTCTGGGGGCTGTGATGTCCTGGTCCGGTCTGGCCTGGTCCGGTCTGGCCTGGCCCAGCTGGACTCAGGAAGCTTTTACTGATGTGTCCCACGCTGCTCCTCTTCGGACCCTCCTGGTTCTGGGACCATGACTTCAGAGGCTTGTCCTGAGGCTGGGCCGGGGCGGTCTCCTCTGGGCTGTGTGCCTCAGAAGGGGAGGGGGTCCGGACCTGAAACCAAAGACATGGTTTGTGACATTTGTGTTTGACCCTGGACGGTTCGGAAGGAGTTGGAGAAGAATAACGAGGAGAGATGTTGTTTACAAGAGAAAACAGGAGATTAATGAATAATAATAATAATAATAATAATAATAATAATAATAATTATTATTATTATTATTATTATTATTATTATCAGAGGAGTGTGAGAAGAACAATGAGGACAGATTTTACTTTTTAAAACCATTTAAAAATAAGTTATATTTATTTATATAGCACATGTTACAGACCAAGGTACAGACCCAAAGCACTTTCCAATGTTCAGAGTCAGATATTGTTCCAATCCTTCCACACACGGTGATGACAGAAGCGAGTCCAGAACACACTGGACCATCAGCTCCAACACCATCATTCACTCTCTCATTTACATTCAGACCTATTGTGCATGTTTTTAGTGGTAGGGGAAACCGGAGCACCCGGAGGAAACCTACGCAGACACGGGGAGAACATGCAAACTCCACTCAGAAAGGCCCTGTTCTGACCGGGCTAACCACTCAGCAACTGTGTCACCAACTCAACACCAATAAATAGATAGTCACATGTCTTTGTGACCACAGAGAGACCATAGAGAGACCAGAGAGAGACCAGAAAGAGGGACCAGAGAGAGACCATAGAGAGACCAGAAAGAGGGACCAGAGAGAGACCAGAGAGAGACCAGAAAGAGGGACCAGAGAGAGACCAGAGAGAGACCAGAGAGAGACCATAGAGAGACCAGAGAGAGACCAGAAAGAGGGACCAGAGAGAGACCATAGAGAGACCAGAAAGAGGGACCAGAGAGAGACCAGAAAGAGGGACCAGAGAGAGACCAGAGAGAGACCATAGAGCATAGAGAGACCAGAGAGAGACCAGAAAGAGGGACCAGAGAGAGACCAGAGAGAGAGACCAGAGAAAGACCAGAGAGAGACCAGAGAGAGAGACTATGAGACCAGAGAGAGACCAGAGAGAGAGACCAGAGAGAGACCAGAGAGAGACCAGAGAGAGAGACCAGAGAGAGACCAGAGAGAGACCAGAGAGAGAGACCAGAGAGAGACCAGAGAGAGACCAGAGAGACCAGAGAGAGACCAGAGAGAGAGACCAGAGAGAGACCAGAGAGAGACCAGAGAGAGACCAGAGAGAGACCAGAGAGAGACCAGAGAGAGACCAGAGAGAGCCCAGAGAGAGACCAGTGAGAGACCAGAGAGAGACCAGAGAGAGACCAGAGAGAGAGAAAGACCAGAAACCGCTTAGGCCCGCGCACCTCTCTGTGGTCTCCTGGGTCCTCGGTGGGTCCTGGGTCCTCGGTGGGTCCTGGGTCTTTGGCCGGAGAGTTTTTTCCGCTGGTGTGTAAGAAGGAGCGCACAGGGATAAGGTCCAGATACACTCTGTTTCCTGAGTCCTCTGCAGCGTCCGGGACTTTAGGTCCATCTGCGTCGTCCTCGCTCGGACTCGCTTCTGCTTTAATCTCGTTATTCACAGATTCAGTTTCCTCAGCGTCCTGGAACAGAAAATAGAGTTGTTTTAAAAGAGGCATTAAAGGGCCCTAATCTGTCATAATTAAAGGGCCCTAATCTGTCATTATTAAAGGGCCCTAATCTGTCATTATTAAAGGGCCCTAATCTGTCATCATTAAAGAACCCTAATTTGTCATCATGAAAGGGCCCTAGTCTGCCATCAAAGGGCCCTAATCTGTCATCATTAAAGGGCCCTAGTCTGTCATCATTAAAGGGCCCTAATCTGTCATCATTAAAGGGCCCTAATCTGTCATTATCAAAGGGCCCTTCTGTCATCATTAAAGGGCCCTAATCTGTCATCATTAAAGGGCCCTAATCTGTCATCAT